ATTATTATTATTATTATTATTATTATTATTATTATTATTATTATTATGTTCTTTGACAGTTTCACACTGTTTATTTTTGTTCTCAGGCCTCATCCTCTCATCTACTCCATACCCCGTCATCCGTCCTAATTATTCCTTCCCCACATTCATGCCTTTTTGTTTTGTTTTACCACCACTGATCTTAACCAGGACTGCCATGTGCGTCTATTGAGGACAGATTCTTGGGCCCCCGGGTGTCCCTGGCCTACAGCACCACCGTATGGAAACAGTTCATTTTGTCCTCACTCTGCAGTGAGAGCAGGGCTGGTCCACCTTGTTGACTGCTGACACCCCAGCACCCAGTAGGTGTTCCCTGTGTATACGGTTCTCGGATACCAACTCACCCGTCACTCCTTTGGGTTGCTTTCTGGAATGCGCAGCTAGTGTTAGCAAGTACAAGAGAACTGCAGTCCATGGGCACTTAGTACCCGTCCCCCTTGGTGATGTGGGGTTGACGTTTCCCACTTCAGAAGCTGTAATTCTCATTCAGGCTCAGCTAGTGTAGAGGTGGAAGGACAACGGCTCGCTTTGATCTTAGATTTGAGCGGTAAGATGTGTACACAGGGCATCTGGAGCGCTGCGCAGTTGGTGAGTGCTAACTGCAAGTGTGAGGCCGAGTTCTGAGGCAGGCACCTGGGGGAAAGCCGGGCACAGCAGTGGGGGCCTGTAATTGGGGTGGGAGCCACAGACAGGAGGATCCCTGGGGTTTGCTAGCCAGCCAGCTTAGCCTAATTGGAAAACCTCAGGCTCGGGAGAGAGATTGAAGAAAACACCAACATCGACTCTGGCCTCCACCGACACACATGTACATATAAGATTATAGTTACATGTGCACACACTGGGGTGGATGTGTGTGTGTGTATAGGTAGGTAGGTAGGTAGGAAGGTAGATAATGGATGCGGGTGTTGTAGGCCCTAAGTACTGTGCTATGATCTCTGAAAGTGTCATCTTTTATTTTTAATTAGAGTGAAAAATGCATTGTTCCTGTTTATTTGTTGTCAAAGGAAAACACAGGAAATGCTTGTTCTTAAAAGGCCATTAAGTGACAAAGAGGAACTCCTGGTCTGTTTTAAGTGCTTATTGGGACAGCTCTGACGGTTTGTTCAGTGTGGACCCTAGAAGTGCTTCCACAGTGGCGGTGAAGGAGGAAATAGAACCAGCACAAGGTGTCTCTTCCCAATTATGTGTTATCTCACTCCCATGCAAACCAGGCTTAGAAGAAGAGAAACGTGTTCATTACAGCCACAGGTTCAGTGTTTACAGCAGGTCTTTGCTGCAGATCACTGTGCTGCCCAGCCTGCCTTCAACATGTGCCATGCAACACTTCTGACTTTACTGAAGCCTGGGTCCTTAGTGCCAACTTTGGCGTCTGCCACGCAGCATTCATAGTTTTGGCAACAGGCTTTGAACCATAGATCCAATTTTTAGTTTTGCTTTTCCAACAAAGCAGACTTTGAACTTAATTTTTTTGAGGTTTATTTGTCTTTATTTTATGTGTATGGATGTCTTGCCTGTATGTACACCTGTGCCCATGCAGTGCCCATGGAAGCCAGATGAGGGCATCAGATCCCTGGAACTGAAATTAAAGCCTTTTCTTAGGTGCTGGGGATAGAACCTGTCCTCTGTAAGAGCAGTGGCACTCTTAACCATTGAACCATCGCTCCAGCCCCAACACAGGTTTTTCTTATGAACTAGTGGTTTATTTATATGACCTGTACAGGCCATCTAATGATACTGTGTATGTCTGATGTAGTTTGATGATATTTGGGATGGAGACACGTGAGGAAAGTGGCTTTGGCAGCAAACATTTTATTAAGTAGCTTCGAAAAGGGGTATTTTAAATTACACATACACACACATATGGGGTTTCGTACATGGGAGCATGTATGAGTACAGGTGCCAGGAGGGCAGAAGAGAACATGAGATCCCATGAAGTGGGAGTGTAGGTGCCAGGAGTTGGATTTGAGTCCTTTACCAGAGCAGGAAGCACTCTTAACCACAGAGCCAACGCTACAGCCCCTTGAGTAACCCATGGAGCAGCGTTCGCCAGGGAAAAAAGTTGGTCTTTGCTCGTGTCACTGGGACCACCCTGCAGCCACATCCCTCCAATAGGGGTAGGTGGGGCATGCTCCTATGCTCCTCAAGGAAGGGAGTGGTTTTAGGGGATTAAAGTGTTTGCTTTTTTTTAAGTATATATGTGTGTGTGTGTGTGTGTGT